TCACAAAAATATGTGGTGGTAATAGACTAGGCTTTTTACAACTTAAATGTACATGTAAGAATTACAAGGAGGGCTGGAGAGATGGTTCAGCAGTTAAGAGCACTGGCTGGTCTTGCCAAAAAAACAAAAAACAAAAACAAAACAAAAAAAAAAAAAACACCCAGGTTCAATTCCCAGCACTCACATGGCAGCTCGAACTGTCTGTAACTCCAAGATCTGACACCCTCGCACAGACACATGCAGGCAAAACACCAATGCACATAAATAAAAATAAATTTAAAAAAGTATTACAAGAAATTTCATTTTTAAGCTAAGAAATAAGGTAAATGAATTTTTCTTAAGGAGGATACACAACCATGATTTTCTACCTGATTCAGTTTCCAGAGCTGAGCTTCAAAATGGCAGCTATAAATGTTCTTCAGCTGAAAATGAAGTCCTACTGTGTTCAAATGTTCAGCTGAACTGAAAACCCATTTTTTGGGGGGAAGGGGAACAAAATTATATCCATTGACTTATTTTGTTTTTTTATTTCTAAAATTAAAACATAAGCTAAAATCATGTATTACCACCAAGCATGGTGGCACACGCCTTTAATTCCAGCAGGCAGATCTCTGTGGGTCCAAGGCTAGCTTGACCTACAAAGCAAGTTCCAGGATAGCCAAGGTTCTTACACAGAGAAATCCATTCTTGAAAAACCACGTACAAACAAAAAGAAGAGGAGGAAGAAGAAGAGGAGGAGGAGGAGAAGAAAGAAAAAATCTCAACTACCGACATGTGTTCCTGCCTATTATGTGAGAGTTTTCAAATGGGAGATCTTCAAAAGCAAGAAGTACTTTCTAAGTAACTACCACTTTGCTTAAAATATAGTAACATTAAAGAAGCAAACTAACAAAAACTTCTTTAACTATTTTTGATGGTCCTCAAATTTTTTATATATTAATTAAACACGAAGTAGAAAAGCTTCCCAGGAACTGTTCTCTGCTCCATGTTACCATACACCACCACAGTGACAAAGACTATTTGGCAACACCACCATCACGTATGATAGGAGCCTGACAAAACACAGATAAAAAATTATCTTAGTGCAAGGGGCTAGAAAATTTTGATACTAAAAAATAGAATTTCATATCTCAATAGAAAACTACACTTCTGATATATCAGTGACTAGATAAATATTAATCCCACACTCAATTTTCTTTTAGTTGACAACCACATTCAGTTTATAAAATTTAGCCCATTTTCAGCAGGACAAAATTGGTCTCTTGAGTGGGTTGTAAGCTTTGCTGATTGTGTATTAGAGACTCTATAAGCAAGAACCAATGCTACCAGGTGAATCCATGCAAAGAACAAATTTGTAAAAATTCCCCAAATGAAAAAATCTATAGCTCACTACAGATGACAAATGAAGACTAGAGAGAAAAGCCATATAGTAATGCTACACCATTCAGCTCCAAGAAGCATATTGTTTATTGTGCAGTCCACATAAAGTCACTGCTAAGAGTCAAATTAGCAGTCTCACAGTTACATTTTGGAACTAGTGGAGTCCACAGATCTAAACAGATATGCAATAGAACAAAACTCTAGCTATACCTGTACCACTAAATCCTTAGATAAGTAAACTAAACATTGGCAATCAGAGTTTGAAAACTTAACACTAATTTTTAAAACCCACTCAACCTGACAATTCCTAAAGTCAAGATTTTAGTCAGGTAGAACGAAAAAGCAACTAATGGCTAAGGAACAGTTGTACTTGGTACATAGGTACAACTGTATTAATGACAGCATCTTTTCAAATATATGATGTAGGCATTTGGTCTTTTGTCCAACTTATATTATCCCATGTTGTTTATCACCTTCAAACTAAGATAAAGGTCATAAAAAACCATATATCCTAAACTATAATTATAATTCTTATAATTATAATAGAACCTAAGATTGGACTATAGCTTTAGATTACATTTAGCTTTCCAAATATTTTAAGTGATTAAAATCGTAATCATGGCCTGAACTTAAAAATCTTATAAACTAACAACTTTTAAAGTTCATACTAAAAAAGTTGTTTTCAGTAAAGAAAAAAAAATGTTTTATTTTCTTCTCACCATAAATCAGATAACCAAATTACCTACCAATTCTAATTTTCGTAGAAAATGTTTACTCTTGACCACAAGAATATATTATTGGTTGAAATAAATGAAAATAAAACTAGATAGTAAATCTATGAAATAATTTATGAATCTTAGATTTTCATTTTAACACTGGCCTACTAAAACTGAATAACTGTATCATCTCTCTAACAGATCCAGAATTCAGAAGAATGCTTAATGTATAATTTATTAGCATCTCTTTGAGTCTCATTTCACGTTTTGCTGGTTTGTATCAAATATGCTCTATTATGAAACAAATAGCCTTAATTCCATACTCATAATAGCCCTTCATACAGGCATATTCCTGACACAATTCTGGGCAGACCTCCATAGTTATCTGCTGTTGCAGATTACCGTTCTTACTTATTTCAATGACTACAACTTTAGCTCCTGCAATGATCTGTAGACTCCCAAAGCTGTGTATTCCCAGCCACTTTTGAGTTGCATGCTGTAGCAAAACAGTCAGCACCTCTCAAGATATTGCTGCAGAGAAAGATTTTAATTCAGCAGAGGCTCTTTCTGTGTTAGAAGCAACATTACCCCTCAGAACAAAATAGCCTGAGATAGCCAGCCAGCCCTGTAAGTAAACATATCTTATTATCTGGTGGGCATTCAGATGATAGGGAACTTTTGCCTTTGGACGAGAAGAAGCACTACCTACTTTGATATCAATCATTTAGAAGTTCTTTTAAAACTTCAAATTTTATTTCCAAATGATTAGGTAGCAGAAATAAAGCCCTTTGTTTTCTGGGTCCCACTTTTCTTTTGTCTTTTCTTTTCTTTTTTTGAGTCCTACTTCTATTTAACACAATGCATCCTACAAAGGTCTTCCTACAATTAAACTACCAATTCGCAATTAATGTGCATATTTATGGAAAAATATTTTATCATTAGAACTATAATTCAATAAAATATATATGTCTCTGGCCACACATTTATTTTTAAAAGTAAAGATGCAGTCTGAGCACAATATCATTTGTTACTTTAAATGGAGAAGATTAACATATCTAATAAACAAGACTTAAGCCGGTTCTACTCTTACTCACTGAGATTACTGGGCAGAGATTACACAAGCAGACTGTCTTTGTCACAGTGCTTTGCTTATAAATACGACATGTCCAAGAAAAAAATCCTGGGCACTGTGAGGAAACAGTATCATTAGTTTCATGTCACAAAAACAGATTAAAAAAATTTACAATATGGACCTACACAGGACTTAAAAATACTAAAGGTCAATTTAAAAAAAAAAAAAAAAAAAAATTCATTGGGTACAGTGAACCAGGCTACAGACTCAGGCTAATTAAACTTCCTAATATTGACAAGTCAATATGCTCAACAGAAATAGTTTATCCATGTGCCTCACAGAATATATGCTGGGGAGTTATTATCAGTAATTTGTTCTTAAAACTCTGACACAAAAAAATATTTTTAAATTAAAATGGAAAACTAAATTATTTTCTAGTACAAACCTTGCATTTTGCCTATGGATCTCATTATAAAATTCTGCCTGATGATAATCTCTGATACAGAACAAGGCCTATACATACCTTGGTGAGTTTTAACTTAGCAAAATGGGCGTGGCATTTTAATCTTATGTTAAAATATCAAACTAGACTTTCAGCACATTATCAGATACGAACTCTCCCTCTGCAGCATTATCACATGCGCCATCAATTACTGCCATGCCTAGTCTAGCATCATGCCAGCACATTAAGACAGAAAGTACTATATGCAGTGTTCACTGGACCAGAAAGACAGAAATAAGAAGGGGAGGTGGGGGAGAAAGAAACCCTAGAGAAGAAATTAAAAAAAGGCAGACCGTGCAATACAAACCAGATCATGGCTGCTTAGCTAATATGGGCCAACTGCTGTGGAAGAAAAATGTCGAACACCCCAAGTTGTGTAAATTTCTGTAAACATCTAAACACACACACAAACACACACAACACCAACCTAATTAGGAACATAAATATATGTTGATCCTTTACTATGTTATAGTTTTGAAAACAAAAGCTAAATTGTCTATCCTTTCTTAACTGCTTTGTTATCTCACAGAAGGAAAGAAAGCTAGTGTTTCTTACAGGGAGGGGACTCTATCTTGACAGATATAAAATTAGGACTCCCTTTTTGATCTTTTATCCATTCAAACTTTACCAATGCTTCAATGAAATCCTTTTAAGTATGGAAATGTAAGCATGAATTTTAAATGCTGATAATAACAAGTTTAGATACTTTAACAATGGATAGTTATTTTAAAATGTGTTTTTTAAATGCTCAAAACTTAAAACTTTTTTTTTAAATTAAGAGACAGAGAAAAATAAATCTCCGTGTTCTATGACTTGGTATTATTAACATCATAGACTAAGAGGTATAAGAAGACAAATTAACTAGCTTGACCTGAAAAAAACAAAACAAAACCAGCAGATATTTCTTAAGTGACAGAGACTAAGCCCACCACGTCTTACAAGGTCTAACAGTTTGCTACGTCTTAACTGCTTCCACTGGAGCATCTCACACATGATTATTCTGCCCAGAAAGGATTAAAGGATCAAAATACATTTTACTCCTTTATTCAATTTACAAAGCCACTACACCCAACCTTCTATCTTTAGCAAAGTTTAATATGGGCCAAAATGATATTTTTCCACTAAATCCTAACTTTTTTCTGTTTTACACTGATTTCCCAACATTATTAAACCACATCCAAACTCTACCTGATTACTGCAGAGCATGCAAGAAAATGGCTCTCAACTGCGCTACTAGTTCTACCTAAGTTTAACTTCACTCACGTCAAGTGTCACACGAGCTCTAGCTAACTAACTGGCTAAGACCCCAAATATGCACGGGTCATCTTACCGATTCGATAGGCTTGTCGAGGGATGCTTGTTCAATCTCCAAGTGTCCTTCTTCATACTGATCAAAGTGATTACCCTGGGGGAAAAAACCTGCAGTTATTTTTCAAAAGTAATTAATACTAAAGTGACTGATAATCTAGCCAACTAACTACAAGTAAGTTTTAGTATTTTTCAGTAGAAAACCAAAACTGTACTACAAGTTGAGACTCTTAAAAAAAAATCTGTAAGGCCAATGAGATGGCTTCATACTGCAAAGACATATGTCACCAAGTCTGACCACCTGAGTTTGACCCTGGTACCCAGATGGTGGAAAAGAACTTACTTTCAGCCAAGTTGTTCTCTGACAGCCACATGTGTGCCATGAAACAACACAAATCCCACATATTGCCAAATAAATAATTAAAAAAAAAACTGCAGATGATGCAGTTCAGTGGTAGAGCTCTTAATCAGCACACATGCAGTCCTAGGTTCAATCATGGGGACAGAAGGTATGACTCACCCATAAAAACCATTCAGGATAGGAATGAAGGCTCAGAAGGTAAGTCTTGCCGCCCAACTATGCAAGCCTGATACCCTGAGTTTTGATCCCAGAACACATGTGGAGGTGGATAGAGAAGAACTCCATAAAATCATACCCTGGCCTCCACATGTAAGCTATGTCATGAGCCTACACAAGCAAACACAGACTCTTCAGTAGAATTTAGAGGTTTAATTTGTTGCGCAGTTGATCAAACTGTGAAACTTCAAGACTGTGTTAATAAAATTAACCTTGGATCAGGGCAGAGCCAACGACTAGCTGGCAAAAATTAGCCATAGAGAGTATGGAGAACCCAGGAAGATGAACAAGAGACTTGCACAGGAAGCAGTAGGGAAGGACTTTCTTGGGCCTTTTTTGTTGGAATGGATAGAGACACTCTCTTGCTGGGTTCTGGCCAAAAAAGGTCAGCTGGTTGCTTCTCAGCTTCTCTGATCTTGTAGGTTTTCACCCCAACATCTGACTCCCAAGTCTCTCGGTAAATAGAACAACTTAGAGTAAAAACAATAATTCGCTGATAAAGAAGTTGCCTAGTAAGAAACCTTGTCTCAAAAAAAAAAAAAAAAAAAGTTGCCTAGCAGACCTGGCACATGCCTTTGATCCCAGTACTTGGGAGGCAGACGCAGGCAGATGTCTGAGTTTGAGGCCAGAGTGAATTCCATGGGAGCAGGGCCACAGAGAGAAATCCTGACTCAAATAACCACACATGTTGCCTACTATGCACAAGACCCTAAATTCAACCACCAGCATAGGTAAATAACAAAAAGAAAAGAAGAAACAGTGAAAGGAAGCCAGGCACACAAAACAAAATGAAAAAACTTTAAGAGTCTATGTCTGGAGCTGGAGAGGTAGCTCGGTAATTAAGAGCACTGACTGTGCCAGACGGTGGTGGCGCAGGCCTTTAATCCCAGCACTCAGGAGGCAGAGGCAGGTGAATCTCTGAGTTTGCCAACATGGTTTACAAAGAGGATTCCAGGACAGCTAGGGCTGTTACACAAAGAGACCCTGTCTTGAAAAAAACAAAAAACAAAAAAACAAAACAACAACAAAAAACCATAACATTATAATCAAAGTCAGTGGACTCAAAGTCAGGTTTTTGGTTTTTTCTTTTTTCTTTTTTGAGACAAGGTTTTTCTATTTAGTCTTGGCTGGTTCTGAAACTTGATATATAAACCAGACTACCCTCCAACACACAAAGATCCTCCTGCCTCTACCTCTGAGTGCTGGGTCTCTTACAGGCATGAATCACCATGCCTACCCCCCATGTGGTTTTTATTCATTTAGTTTTTAGTAATTTTAGTTAATTTTATTTATTATTTGTGTGTGTATATTTTTTCACAAGCACTCACTTTCAGGTATGCTGTGTGGGGGGCAAGTAATCACAGATCTTGTGTGGAGGTTAGAGGATAACTGGAAGCTGGTTCTCTCCACTTGTTGTAGACTATTTTTTTTTAGACTATTTTAACTATGTAAAGATGTGTGACATTTCTTTGTGCTGGGGAATATTACTTTAGCTGTGTAAAAGTGTTACTTCTGTTTATGTTGCATTTATTTAATTTTTTAAATATTTATTTATTTATTATGTATACAATACTGTCTTGTGTGTATGTCTACAGATCAGAAGAGGGCACCAGACCTCATTACAGATGGTTGTGAGCCACCATGTGGTTGCCGGGAATTGAACTCAGGACCTTTGGAAGAGCAGGCAATGCTCTTAACCACTGAGCCATCTCTCCAGCCCCATTTGTTTAATTATAAAAAGATACGCTCTGTGTAGTGACATTTGAATTGTATTTTAATGAATAAAGACTGCCTAAAGATAGCTTTTTTTTTTTTTTTTTTTTTTTGGTTTTTCGAGAAAGGGTTTCCTCTGTAACTTTGGAGCCTGTCCTGGAACTCACTCTTGTAGACCAGGCTGGCCTTGAACGCACAGAGATCCGCCTGCCTCTGCCTCCCAGTGCTGGGATTAAAGGCATGAGCCAACCTCCTGGCCCCACTGGTTATCTTTACAGACCAGATTATGGTAACACACACACCTTAATCCCAGTAGCCACACTAGTTATCATAGAAACTGGGTGATGAATACCTTTATTGACAGTGGTGCACGCCTTTAATCCCAGCCCTAGACAGGAACGTAAAACAGAGAAGATATAGACTCCTACTGAGATTCCTAGAGGCAGGATCACCATTTTTGGATTGAGGTCAAGAGTCAGTGGATGTTTACTTTTTGGATCTTCAGGTTGAACCCCAATTTCTGACCCTGAGCTTTTATTAATTGTGCTTCATTGCTGTTTTTACCTTGCCTATTTAAGGTACCTGATTGGTCTATCTAATAAAAAGCTGAACAGCCAATACTAGGCAGAAGAGGGACAGGCAGGAGTGGCAGAAGAGAGAATAAATAGGAGAAATTAAGCTCAAGAGAGAAGGAGGAGAGAAAGAGGGAGGTGTCTGGGGCTGACAGGCAGCTGCCAGCCAGGAGACAAAGTAGAACGTACAGAAAGATAAAAAGGCTCCGAGGCAAAAGAAAAATAAATAGGTTAATTTAAGTTAAAAGAGTTAGTCAGAAGTGAGTCTAAACTGGGCCGAGCATTCAAAACTAATAGTAAGTCTCTGTGTCATGATTTGGGAGCTGGTTGGTGGCCCAAAAGGAAAAGCCTACAACTGTAGGTTCTGGGGAATCACCAGGCTTCCCAGCCAGCTCACTGGCTAAACCATAGCCGGCCCAGGTCTTAAGTTCCTGATGAATGATCATATGAATTATTAACAAGGCTGTAACCATCTGACTTTTTTTCATCTAGATGAGGTGTACGCCAAGTTTAAATTGATTTTAATTTTGACATGCCTCTTAGTCTATCTTTAACTTGATTCTGGCTAGTATATTACACAGATGTCTCTGTCTTTCCCTGCTCTCACCAACTAAAATTCCTTTTTGCTTTTGGTTTTTTGAGACAGGATTTCTCTGTGAAACAGCCCTATGTGTCCTGGAACTTGCTTTGTCAGGCTGGCCTCTTAACTCAGAGATGTGCCTGATTTAGTCCCTAGTGTGGGGACTAAAGACATACACCACCATGCCTGGCATGTTTGCTTCTTGAGACAGGGTCTCAGGTTGCCCACACTGTTCTTGGACTCATTTTAAGGAGCTGAGGATGATACTGAACTTCTGATCTTGTACCCATGTCTCAAGAGTTGAGGTCACTGACATACATTGCCACACCCAGGTTTATCTTTTCTACTTCATTAATCAACACTCCTTAGACTGAGTAAACTAAATACTGTTGCTCTACTCACAACTCAAATGACATACTTATCTATAATTAAGGATGCTTTTTATTACTATTACATTTATAGTCATTCTTGTGTGTGTGTGTATGCACACATGTGCACATTTGTGTCACTGCACACATATGGAGGTCAGAGATCAACTTGTATGAGTTGGTTCTCCCATTCTACTCTGTGGGTCCTATAAAGTAGGCTTTTGATGGCAAGCACCTTTAACCACTGAGCTATTTCTTTCTTTCTTTTTTTTTTTTTTTTTTTTGGTTTTTCGAGACAGGGTTTCTCTGTGGTTTTTGGAGCCTGTCCTGGAACTAGCTCTTGTAGACCAGGCTGGTCTCGAACTCACAGAGATCCGCCTGCCTCTGCCTCCCAAGTGCTGGGATTAAAGGCGTGCACCACCGCCCGGCCCACTGAGCTATTTCTTGACCCCAAATTGGACTTCTAAATTCAAGCCATGTAATGTCACGTGTATAAGCATAGCTCACTTGAAAAGAAAGCCAAATATGCACAGAGCTCTGGGTTCAATCTCCAACATCACACAGACCAGGTATGGTAGCATACACCAACAATCCCAGCACTTCAGAGGTGGAGCATGAGAAATTCAAAGTCACCATCAGCTCAAAGCAAGTTCAAAGCTAGTCTGGGAGATATATATATATATATGTGTATGTGTATATGTGTGTATATATATATATGTATATATGAAGGGAGGAAGGGAGAAGAAAGAAACAACGGAGAGGGCGTGATTCCTGTAATCACATGGTAAAGGCGAGAACTGACTATCACAACAAGCACACTGTGGCACTCACAGTCCACACCCATCCATACAAACATAATAAATGTCTCTCTCTCTCTTTTTTTTTTGGAAACAGTCTCATTATTAAACCAGGCTGGCTCAGAATACAAAGATCCACCTGCCTTTGCTTTCTAAGAGCTAGGATTAATTTTATGTGCCACCACATCCCGCTAAACCTCAAGTTTTTAAAAGTGGCATGAGGCAGACACAGCCGTACGAGGCAGTCATATTTACTCTATGAACAACACAATCCTCCTTTGTCACCAAATAATAAGACTTTATTGCTGGCGTCTTTACAAATTCCAAATAAGTAAATTTTACTATTGAAAAAATATATCAAGAGGAAATAGAAAAAACTATCATTGAAAAAGAAAACCAGGCTGGCTGATGATAACACACACTTTTAATCCCAGCACTCATGAGTTCAAGGCCAGCATGATCTACAGAGCTAGTTCCAGGACAGCCTGAG